GTCTCTTAAAAATCCATTAACTCTTCAAATCTCAAAATTCATCCTTTATAATTTAACAGAAAAATAAAAACGAACGTTTCCTCACTCATTTCATTTGGTTGAATTGAAAAACACTTATCATAGATTTCAACAACAAATGTGTATAATTTTAAAAGAATCGATTTGATATATTTTGATGTTAATCTATTTCTTTGTTCTATACTACGAATTCTATAATTCCTCCGCTCATTTGTCAGTCATTCCCAATGTTTTCCTTGAAAGATCTTATGGATTAAAGGTTTATCATCTGGACAAATAGAATAAATGACACCAATTCATATAGCAACATGTGGAAAGTCAGACATCATTCTTCAAATACTTGAGTAACGTGTAATGTAAATAGATCATTATTTTCTAAATCGATCAAAAATCAAAAAATCGAATTTTTAAACTTTGTGGTAGAGGCGGATTCTAATGAAATTTCCTTCTACAAAAAGCTCTGAAATTCTACCAATTGCATTTTCCATGGTTCATTTTTAAATAATATCATAAAAACTGGTTTCTTCATCCATGAACATGTAACCTTCCATGAGAGATGTTTACATTGATTAAAATAGCATTATACGATAATATTATTTCAAGGAAAAAAAAGAAAAGAAATTTAAGGTTGTATATCACAAGGATTGAATGAAATATTAAGAAGTTGCTGTTGGAGATGATGAATTATGCGGCGCATTTCTTCAATCGCACTCGCCTGCAAAACTCAACTAAGAATAGAACATTTCGTCGAAAAAAAATCATTCATCTGCTTTAAAAAAAAAAACATTTAGTAATTGTTTACACCTATGATTATATACTTAGGAAAATTGCAGGTCGAGGAGGAAATTCAGAAACGAACATTATTATATGGCCACAACGAAGGGATTCTGTAACCTACACAACTGTATGCTTCAATTTTTTCTGTTAATAGATTACTGATTGCATTAATTTACGGAATTTTCATTTATTATGAAATTGAATGATTTGAAACGAGTACCTAAGCTATTTTCAAATCCAACTGCTCCTACTAAGTGGAAATTGTATTTTAAAAATAAGCTGTAAGATTGATACCTGCATTAAAATGTGATTTTTGGCTAACAGGAGAGTGGCAATTTTGGATAGTTTACGCACCGATGTACCATTAGCATAAGGTAATATAACTCTTAAATCGTCAAATGCTTCATTAAGATCATGCATACGGCAGCGTTCGCGCAAATTGATATTCAATCGAGCTGTTTGATTCACTGATTGAATGGAAGACATTTTCAGATTCTAAAATGACTTCTGCTGTATATAAAAAATATTTTTTATCCTATACTGTTATAAAATGCCTTCGATGATTCCATATTAGAAAAAAAAAGAAATTTACTTACTACGGAAATATTTTCAAAATGAATTCTTTGATTACCGTAATCTTCCGCTTTGTTAGATGAAATAATATCGGGAATGAATGCTCGAAACTGAGCCAAAGGAAGCAAATTGAATGTGACAAGTTATTATGGATATGAGAAAGGCGGAGATCTCTCTTCTCAACCATAATGACAGCATTCAAATATGAGTGGCACTTTTGCAAATGTTTCACAGTAAGCAAACGTCAAATATTCAGCTGTTGAACAATCAAAAATTTCAACATCCTTCCACAAAAGACAGTTCGTATATGTATAAAAACTTACGGTGAAATATGGATGTGTTCCACACAGAACGTATATGATTGCGTGGTATTGAACAGAAGCTAAGTGTGAAACGTGTAGTTGCGTGATACTGGCCAGAATCGAAGTGTAATGCAACATTGTGATAGACTGTTGTCATTTTTATTTTGCTATTCATTATCAAATTTGATTGAAAATAGGAAAATAATGAAACTTTGTTGATTTATTGATAAATTTAGATGTTGCAGTGCAGAAGAACAGATGTCATTAACACGCTTGAAAGAATATCCATTCAAAATCTAATTTAATCGGATCAATAAAGTGAAATAGAAAGCAAAGAGACTGAATAATTCAATAATGAAATAGTCTGATCTGAAATAAATCGGTGCACAAAAGAAATCTTCCGAAGGATTTCTTTAGCTTCTCAGTTCACGACAACCTCTCATTATAATTCCTAATCCACATGTCATACATCAAAACAACTCACATATCTCTCAATCCAATTCCAAAAGCATAACAATTCATTTTGTAAGCTTCTTGTAAGCGTGTTGAACAGTCTGAACCTAAGCACGCTGATTTCACAGCTCTTTAAAGTCATCTTTACAACATTACTAAAGCAATTACACGATTCCCACTGAAATTAGGCACTTACAATTTGATTGCTTGAAACTGATTATGAAATTCCAAATTTCGAATTACCGCCTTCAGATTGTTAAACTTCGTGCATATGTAATTCTGTCAATGCTACTTTGTTGTTGTTCTGATGGCAGATTGGATAACATCGAGGTGGTGGTGTGTTTTTAAAAAGAATGACGAGTTGGATATCTGAGGGAGAAGTTGGTGATGGCAGGAACGATTCGTCGTGGATGATGTATCCGATGGTTCTTCACTTCAGCAAGCACGAATACATCTTGGTTAATTTTTGGAAGATTGGAACAGCTCTTGGTTCGTCATTTATTATCGCTTTTTTTACATCATGTCTCTCACGTGAAATTTATGATTATTCACGTGCCGCTTTATTGAGACGTGAATCGATTGTGTTGTGTGTGTGTATGGATGGAAACAGTAAAGAATGAGGAATGTAATGAACAGAAGCAACACTCTGTTTTGATTTATGTATCAGTAAAGTATGAAACTATTATAAATTACACGGAAGAAAGTATTATATTTCATTTATGCATAATTCATGTGAGATCAGTTGGATTTACATGAATAAAGAACCTGTCAAGATTGGATAGGATCGAATCTTAAGGCAAGCAACAATATAGTAAAGAGAAGGCAATGAATAGTCTTCACTTTTACTAAATATTGAGACTTCGACAGTAATATATCACCTGTTGTAAACAGTTGAAGCCGTTGAGAAAAAAATTGTCAGCAGTTCAGCGAATTTATTTCATTATCATTTATGAAGAAGGCTTGTGATTCAGATCTTTCGTCAGTGAGTACAGGAAGAACATTTGAACTTAGATGGAGATGAATGAAGCGAACATAGGCATTGCTATGAGATTGTGACTTTCACAGATAAGATCATTCATTTTTGGTAATCTTGCTTTTTGATGTTTTCTAATTTCAGGTCTGTCCACATCTGTCCTTATTGTTTTCTTATTAAGCATCTTATATGAAGCAGTTAAAGGTAATTACTTCACATTTTTCTTTTTCAAATAAAACATGCGTAAGTAATATTATTTAATACTCCAATTAATTGGATTAGATCTTTTATTTTTTCAAGCGGCAGAAATAGTGATTTTTTATAATTTCAGTCCATATACTTGTAAAAAATTCGTAAATTACATCCTTAAAATCTACCTATGTTATATATTTAATATTTCTACTTTCAGCTCTTCGCTTATATTTTGCTCGAAATCGTGCTGTTGAAAAATGGAATCAACGTATCCAATCAAACATTGTCGTTCGAGAATCGTCGGAACATGCTGACAGCGTGAGTACCGAAATGAACTCATATTCACCTATTTTCAGATTTAGGGGGTAAGTTTACAATTGCCAGTTGTAATAAGAAATCAGAAACTTCTAGAAATGCCTTAATACTGGTAAGAAAAATTATATTCCTGTTCTTAATATAGTTTAGATTCGAAGAACTAGTTATGGCGGAAGGTTGAAGGAGTGATGTGATCCCCAGTTTCCGTTTGGATTTCAACCTTTTAATGACTCATCTCATACCATCACTCTGTATTTCGGGCATTGAAACTAGATCGATTGGAACTTGTTAGCAATCGACCACAACCATAAAATTGAAACTTGTTAACATTTTTTTTCAAAGAAATACTAAATTTCTAAAGAAACAAAAGCTTAAATCAAATTTCAGTCGATTTATGTAACGTCATATAAAAGTATTCAGTAACTTCCCTCAACACATTTTCTTTTCCTTACAGCAAAGGAGGACTTTCATTTAGAAAGAATCTGCTAATAATTTTTGAAGCTGCAAATTTATCGCAATATTTTGGATAAACACGAATAAATTGCAGACTTCGAGCACTGAAACAGCTGTTGACGTTTTATCGAATAGTTCAGTCATCTTTGTACTTTACACAAATACTTTTGGCTTACATCTTAATGCTTATCGCGATGACTTTTAATGTTTGGATAATACTTGGAATTGTAGCCGGCGAAGCGATTGGTTATTTTCTTTTTTCCGAAGAACTGACTTCTGATGAAAACGTTGGAGCAAATTTTTGTTGTTAGCGGATGTTTTTCCTTCCATTTATTTTTACTTACATTTAGTGAAGAGTTTCATATTTTACAGTGTGCGAGAAGTCGGTGCCTTCACTTCTTGCATTATTATTATCATTGTATTATAATTTTCAAAATTAACTGATACCAATCATTTCAAAAAGAAAACAAACAAAGGAAATATAAGACATAAGTTCAAAATTTTCAGTCTGCAGAAATAGTTTACTATTTGGTGGCGCAAATCCTGCATTTTATATTCTTATGGATCCATTTATTAATATTTTTCAGCTTTACAACAGTCACTTCTACTTTCTCTCTGTTATGAAATAGATCTAGTTTGTTTTGAAATTAGAAATTGTTATGTATTAAGTCTCTCGATATATTGTTTTTCAAAATCGATATATTATTCTCAACTACAATTCATAATTTCAAATAAGGCTTTCAATCCAGCGAGTTTTGCTGTTTTTTCATAATTTGCAATACATTCAATTTTTTGATATGGCAGTTTATCATTTTGATTACATTGTGTTTAATCGCATATAAATTGTATAGATTACTGGATTGATTAATTTACGAAATTTTATCGCTGATTTAACATGGGTCGATAAAAAATTGACATTTTTTTAAAAGACTGAAACCGAAAAGAATAAAATAATGAAATGGCTTAATGAAAAGTTTTTCTATTTATTTTAATAGAAATGTCCTAGCAAAATTCAGGCAAATTTTAACATTTCCTCAAGTTAAAATTTGAAATTTTCTAGTATTCTTCTACTCTGTCTGCCATTAGCGATGTTTTAAGTTTGGAAGTACATTTTTTTCCTTACACATACTTATCTACTAGCTACTAAAATGAGGAAGTTTGTGCGTGTGCTTGGAGGAAATAATAAAAAAAATAGTTTGAAGGGCTTTGGTTTCAGGGTATCGGCACTTGTGAAAGCAATAAAATCAGGGCAGGGAAACTGACTATTACTGTTGAAGTTGCTTTTGTTTCATTTTCGTCTGGATTGAAAAATGTTTTCTTGGATTTTGTATCCTCACATAGCTGCAATAAAATTTTTAAATGATATTTCTAGAGTTCACTAGATATGTAAGTAAAATTAAATTATAATTTCCAACGTGCTGTTATAAAATGCCCTATCCCGCAGTCCATTTTTTCTGCATTGGAACTTTTTTGAGAAGGTAAACCTTATTTTCATTTCCTGGATAATAAGCAATCCCATTTGTGCGGAATTCGTTGTAATTGCAGAAACCATTCGAGTCCATGTTTTCTGAGCAATCTAAATGCGGAATTATGGCGGAACTAAATAGTCAATTTGTTGTAAATTCCAATGTAGGCTTCAAGTGAAGTTTCATAGTTATTTAAAAAGAGGGTAATTTCTGGTTTTAAACCCATCATGCTGATATTCGTAATCAATGCTTCATGAGCGGATGCCATTAAAAAGAAATAATAATATGGCAGCTTTCTTCTATAAAATTTATAAAAAATAAATAATGAAGAGATGCTAACGATCCAGTAAATTAGTAACGTCTTCTAATTGCTCCTCGGTGAAATTACGATGATAATATACCTGAAATTTTAGACGGACTGAATGAACCTCAGCTAAAATGTAGTACCGAAATATTTGTCAGCCTTTAATGCACAAAATTAATTGCCCTTTTAATTTATATTTTTTTTCCTCAAAGCGATTGCTACTTTATTGCGCCCATGTAAATTGTGAAGTTCTTTCTCAACATTAAAGCCTTAATAAATCATCGATGCGGTGATTAGTCTCTAAATTTTGTTTCGTGACGATTTTTGCAGACTTCATTTTAAATGATAAATAATGGAAATAAATACTTTCAATCCCGGTCCATTTGTTGTATTCCACAGTTCAAAAAACATGGCGGCGGAGTATTTTGGATATCCATCACTGACCAGAATTTTCTGTTTAGCGTCCAATGTACACATCAATGCTATTAACGTTGTATCGTGCTGTAAAAAGCAATATATCAGATTTTGCAAACTTTCAATAATTTAAATTTCCAAAATGTTCGAAAATCACCAATACATTTTTTGATTGATATGTTATGGAAGAAATTGATGAAGTCATTCATAAAAGAAATCTTCCATAATACATTTCTTTTACGAACGACTTCATCAATTTCTTTAAATGTACATTAAGTAAGCAGTTTTGAGATGCGTACATTATAAGTTCAAGTTATCCGCGCTGATCATAACTTCGACATATAAATTTTTAATGATTAGTCGGAGGATTAGGTTATCCAAATGGAAAGTTGTAAAAACAGGTGTGATAATTTAGGAAACGATTTCATTCTTGACCACAGATTTTAAGTAGAGACAACTTGAACTTATCTATAAGTTCAGAAAAAATTATTGTCATCTTTTTCTCTTTTTGATCATTATCATCCTTAAATTTTGGCATCAATTCTCATTTGCACTCAATACTGTTTTCTCTGCCTAAAATCTTTTCTAAAATTGATCATTTCTGTCGAAAAGATCATTTTTTGTGTGGAAATATTTCGAAAAGAATTTACATGACATCTGACAGAATTCGAAAACTTTAACAAGAAGGTTGCTAAGCTTCGCTTGGTTTTTGTTTCTAATGAAATATTTGTTATTTTTGTAGAGATAAGCCTGTTTTTTTTTCTGTTTTAAACAGTCAAGAATGACAACTGAGGTCTAAGGGTCAGTATGAATTTAAATGTGATGTGAATTCCAATAAATGTGACAAATAGTGATGTAAAAATTCAAATTTCTTTTCTTTGATGTAGTGACTAATTTCCGATTTATTTGGCTGAGATACTTCTGTTCTCAGAGTAAAAGTAATCGGGCGGTAGGTTTACAAGATTTTTTAGCCCATATGTTTTTCAATATTGCCTTACAAAAGAAACTGAAAATATGGGGTTATACTTACTGCCGAATAAGCGTAATATTTAAGGTCTTTCATCCAAATGCAATTCGAATTTTTCTGATTCTCGGGTTTCAAGCAATGTAGCTGTAATTCACAAAATAAAAACGAAATATCGCAACAATAAAATATAAACTACACATATTTTGAAGTTAATCGACTTCTATATTAATTCCACAATTAAATTATTGAAAAATATAAAATTGAATTATACACAGATAATTATTTTTCACGCTGATAAAAACTTTGGTAAATAAAGTTTTAGTAACCAGTCGGAGGACATCTTTTTCAAGTGGGAAATTGCGAATAAGTGTGACAATTTCGTATCATCACTCTTAACCTCATATTTCAAGCAAAGCTAAACCTTCAAGTCGAAATGATTCAATATTGACCAAAGAATACTACCACCTCGAATTTTTCCAATTTCATGCTTAAAATCAATTCCTTTGAATGGTTGAAGATCTGGAATTTACAATTTCAATCATTCCCTGTAGGGAATTTTTTTATATAAATTTTTAAGAATTACTAACTTTTGTGCGATATCACTTACTCAAACCATTTTCATAATTTTGGATTGCGTTATTTAATTGTTCCAATTGATCGTACAGGAAATCATTAATAGGTATATTGAATGCATGTACTTTCTAAAATTTTGCTGCTTTCTGATTGGATTAACATTCAGATCCGATGATCCATGCATGAAATTGTAAAATGATTTATCGAAAGATCATAAATATCAGAATGAAATATAACGGTGTGAGTTGTGGCAAAGTATTAACATTATGACCGGAAAAATAAGCAAAAAACGGATAAAAACATGACTGAAATTTCCAATTGAAGCTATAGATAAACTAGAGCTAAATTATAATACTTTTACAATTAAAAAAATCATCTGCAGATTGAGAATTTTGCAAACTATACTACTTGGATTCTGATTCAGAAACTGTGAATCAGTGAATCATAATCATTGTTAGCATGATTAGCCTTAATATATATTATCACACGGGAAATAAACTGTAAATAACCTCGCAGTAAAATGTATCTGCACAGTACCATACGTCCTTTAAT